TATTTACTTTAATACCACGTGTTTCAATCATGTTTTTTAATATAGATAGAAAAAGATCTCTGTTTTTGGTCTGCTGTTGACCCATGGTCTCGTGGTGCTTTTGTTCACTCAAGCAAAGATTTCTTTTAACTGTGCTGTCCGGCCCGTGTCCCTCGCAGGAACTTGCGGAGGCATCTTAGCTAAGGTCTGTCCGTATAAATCCCGGACCAGGCTACTCCGAAGAGCAGATGACCGTTATGCCGTATGACGTTCCTCCACGGGAATCGCGGGTGCAGCCCACTCAGACTCCGTAGCCACGAGGCCGTGGAGCCGTATTCATACACTCTCACACACACACAGCACCACGAGCATTCACTCTTAGAAAAACTTCTCACTATTTCAAACTGATCACCCTTTATCAGCGAGCTCTGGACGCTCCAGTGAGGATCCTATCCCTGACTGTTTAAAAGAGGGTATTTTAAGGGAATCACATTCACACTCACACACAAGAAGGGAGATAGCTTACCCAACACGATCTCTTCGTTACTCACCTCTTCTTTGGGTGGAAGACTCAATGAAATGAAATGAAATGTCGGGGCCCCACGTTCGGGCGCCACCTGCCGCGGACCAGCACAGTAGTACACGATGAGGCCACCTCAGGGTTGAGAGAAGCGTGCAGGGTGGTCAGGGTGTCAGTGAAAGAAATGACAAACAGTAGCACTTCAAGAGTGAAAATCTGAGTGTAATTTTCTTTGAGTTTGTGACCAGTATATATATATTTTCCAAAAGCACAGAAACAATGAATATCAATGAAATCAGCTAGCTCATGGGCTCAGCCTATCACCATCAGGGTGGTGATTTACATAACAAGCAATGACCTTTATAGAAGAAAGAAGGAAGTTTAGAAAGACAATAAGGGATTAAAGTTTTGTAGTTCTAGAAAGACGGGATAAGGTTTTTTAGCATTCTTGTAGTGGTTCCTGGTGGTCAGTTATCTTTTGATAAGCTTCTGTCTTTTTCAGGGAACTTCCGCTGTACTTCCTTTGCTTCAGGGTGTTTTGCTGTTCTCCCCCTGCTTGCTGGTTGCCCAGCCGGACCTAGGGACCGTGGCAAAAGCCATTCCTAAAGGTCACTGCAGGGGGAGGTGCAGCAGGTATGTCTTCAGAGGGTTTTGCTGTTCTCCCCCTGCGCCGGACCTAGGGACGGTTAGCCCTAAAGGTCACTGCAGGGGGAGGTGCAGCAGAGCAGAACAGGCAGACTGACTGAAATACACTGCTGAGGGGAGCCGCAGGCAAGACAGGAGAGGTCTGCTGCCTCATGTGGGTTAGCTCCCTGGCTAGGAATGGGACTTAGGTGCTGAGGCTTAACCACTAGGCCACCAGGGAGGCCCTGATTATAGTCATTCTAATGGATGTCAGCAGCTCTTTCTGCCTGTTTGTGTCCAAGCAAGTGTGGTCTTCTCCTTTTCATTTCCCAATAAATCTACCCTTTTAAAATTGTAAAAAAAAAAATTGTAATGGATGTGAAGTGGTATCTCCTTGTGGTTTTGTTTTGTATTTCCCTAATGATTAGTGGAGCCATCTTTTCATGCATTTATTGGCCGTTTGGGTATCTTCTTTGAAGAAATATTTATTCAAGTCCTTTGCTTGCTTTTTAATAAAGTTATTTAGTTTTTGTTGTTGAGTTATTATAGGAGTCCTTTACATATTTTAAATATTAATCTCTTATCAAATATATTATTTTCAAATATTTTTTCCCATTCTGTAGATTGTCTTTGTACTCTTGATAGTGTTATTTGATGCAGAGAACATTGTTTTTACTTTTGATGAAGTATACAATTTAAATTTTTTGATTTCTTTATGCATACAAGAACTGGGGTGTAAGCCAGAGGTGCAAGGGGTGAGAGGATTCACCAGAGAGAGTGGGGAGCAGAACAGGCAGATCTACTGAAATAAACAGGCAGATCTACTGAGGGGAGCAGTGGGCAAGGCAGAAGAGGTCTGCTGCACCATGTGAGTTACTCCCTGGCCGGCCATGAATCAAATTCATTCTGCAGTGTTTGGCGATAGCTTGATAGCACGGACTTTATCCCCTGAGCCACCAGGGAGGCCCCTACAGTTTACTTTTTATGATCTATGCTTTTGGTGTCATATCTAAGAAATCATTGCCAAATCCATTATATCATCAATCTTATGTTTTTCTGAGAGTTTTATCGTTTTTTAGTCATTTTAGGTCTTTGACCCATTTTGAGTTCATTTTTAGTTATTGTGTAAGGTAACGGTCCAACTTTTTTTTTTTCCTCTGAATGTGAGATGATTAATTCTCACAGCACCATTTTTTTGAAAAAACTCATTTCCCCAATGAAATTTTAGTGCCCTTGTCGAAAATCATTGAACATATATGCAAAGGTTTGTTCCTGGGTTTTCCATTCCTCTGATCTGTATGTCTTCCAAATGACTTTTTTTTTTTTAAAGATTTATTTGTGCATACAAGAGCTGGGGTGCAGTCCAGAGGTGCAGGGGTGGGGGTGTTTGAGAGGATTCACCAGAGAGACTGGGTTGCAGAACAGGCAGATCTACTGAAATACACTGCTGAGGGAAGCAGCAGGCAAGTCAGGAGAGGTCTGCTGCGCAATGTGGGCAGCTCCCCAGCTGGGAATCGAACTCGTGCTGCAGCAGCCACAGACAGCCTTGCAGGTTGCATCTTAACCCCTTGCACCACCAGGGAGGCCCTGTCTTGTTGTTTTTTTTTTTTAAGATTTATTTATTTTTATGCATACAAGAGCTGGGGTACAGGCCAGAGGTGTGGGGGGGTTAGGAGGATTCACCAGAGACAGAGTGCAAAACAGAACAGAACAGGCAGATGGACTAAAATACACTGCTGAGGGGAGCAGCGGGCGAGTCAGGAGAGGTCTGCTGTGCCATGTGGGTTTCTTCCTGGTCTGCCATCCAACTCATGCTGCAGAGTTTGCGGATAGCTTCATAGGTTGCGTCTTAGCCCCTTGCACCACCAGGGGTTGTGTTTTAAAACACACCTGACTCAAAATAAGGGGGTTGCAATTGTATGGGGAATATAAAAATAAAATTTTTTTTAAAAAATAAATAAATGTGATATTTAAAAAAAAAAACACACACACACACCTGACTTCTGTTTTGAAGTCATTTTAGGGCCTCCCTGGTGGCGTAGGAGATTGAGCGCAGTGCTGTAAGGCTGTCTGCGTCCTTTGTGGTTCAAGTTCGATCCTGGGCTGGCTGGGGAGCAACTCACATGGTGCAGCAGACCTCTCCTGTCTCCCCTGCTACTCCCCTCAGCAGTGTATTTCAGTAGATCTGCCTGTTCTGCTCCCGGCTCTCTCTGGCTGATCTTCTCACCCCCTGTGACTCTAGCCTGTACCCCACTTCTTAAAAAAAAGTAAAGTCATTTTAATTATAGTTTCTTTTTGTGTGATTGTGCCATCAAATGAATACTTTGTTTCATTTTGCTTGTGATGTTTGGAGACATTTTATTTTGTTTTATAATACATGGTTCCAAAGTCAAATCTAAGCTTTGTATATAAACAAGGTATATTGAGAGATTACTGTCTATTTCTATTTCATACCATCCCATGCTCCCACTTAAAATACATCCTTTTTCTTCAAATATAAGAACCCAGATTCACCTCATCCTAGATTAATGAGAGCGTGTATATACTTTTCTGTACCTTGCTTTTTTTTCCCACACTGAACTGTTATGTCCTAGAGATGACTCCTTTGTTTGTATGTACAGTAGTGGCTGGCAGACTATCTCTTTCTGTAAATAAATTTTACTGGAATAAAGTGATGCCCATTTGTTTAATAATTGCCTGTGGCTGCTCACTCTCTACAATAGCAAAGCTGGGTAACTGAGACAGTAACCATATAAAACACAAGCCTCAAATAGTTTTTGTACCTTTTTTTTTTTTAAAGATTTATTTATTTTATTTATACAAGCACTGGGTACAGTCAGAAGTGTGGGAGGGTGAGAGAATTCACCAGAGCCAGAGCGGGGAGCAGAGCAGGCAGAAGGACCAAAGAACACTGCTGAGGGGAGCAGCGGGCGGCAGGAGAGGTCTGTGCGCCATGTGGGACCCTCCTCCAGGGTGGCCAGGGAGCAGCCGGGGATTGAACCGGCGCTGCAGAGGCTGCAGGCAGCTTCGCAACCCAGCGCTCAACCTCTGCGCCACCAGGGAGGCCCAGTTTTTGTCCCTTTTTAAAGCATTTTCTGACTCAGGATGTATAATGAATAATATTTGGTTCCTTTTTTATCACTGCATTGTTGTCCATTAGAGGTACTAGAGGTGATTCAGCTAGTCCCTTGTGTGGACATTTGGGTTGTTCTTAGTCCCTTTTTTTTTTTTTTTAAAGATTTGTTTATGCATACGAGAGCTGGGGTGCACGCCAGAGGTGCGGGGGTGGGCCACCAGAGTATGTACCAGAGACAGTGGGCAGCAGAACAAGCAGATTCACTGAAATACACTGCTGAGGGGAGCAGCAGGCGAGTCAGGAGAGGTCTGCTGCACTACATGGGTTAGCTCCCTGGCCAGGGATCGAACTTGTGGTGCAGTGGCTGCGGATTGCTTGATAGTGCTGAGATTTAACCCTTTGCGCCACCTCTTCTTAGTCTTCTGCTATTACAAATAGTGCTGTAAATCATAATGATAAAGTTTCCCTCAAAGATTCTGGGGACATTATGAATTCTTTCTCAACCTTTCCTGCCCATCTTCAGATATCTTCAGTGCAATAAAAGACAGCTGTCAGTAGAGATGGTTGCCTTTCTGCCCATTAAGTAACAAAGTTTCAGTCCTTTTTTGTTGGGTATGTGATGTTGAACACCTGAGTGATTTCAACTCTGATTTAACTCACTATACTTAGGCCAAGTAACCACAATCTAGTCCAGAGAAGATGGAACTGTTCTTTTGAGTCCTTTTCCATTTCTTTTTGAAAGATGAAAGACAGTTCCATTTCTGAAGAGAACTTAGGTAAATATTTTCCTTTTCTTTTTAGCTGAGCTCCTCGCCAAAAAACAGCCATTAAAAACCAGTGAAGTGTACTCCGACGATGAGGAGGAGGAAGAGGATGACAAGTCCAGCGAAAAATCAGACCGCTCATCTCGAACATCTTCATCTGATGAGGAAGAAGAGTAAGCTGTTGTACATGTTGGTCTTTTAGTCAGGATAGGTGGGTTCTTGGAGGAGAAGCTCAACGTAGTTCCTTAAATCTCCCCATTTTGACCATGTACTCTGGTTTGGTCTGTTCACTGAATTGCTGGACTGAGTTCCTCAGCACTCAGAATATGCTTCTGCTTTTGCCTCTTAGCCTGTAACCTTGACATTTCATCAGGGCCTGGCAGTTAGGAAATTCATGTCAGGAGCTTCCATTATTTTCTTGTTCTGTAGATTATCTGGGATGGCAGCCTCAGTCAAAACAGTTAACACTGCCAGTTAAGAACAGAATTCTATTACAGCTCTCTTGGTGCTTCGTTTTTTTTCTACCTATAGTGTTAATCACATGTAGTTTGGTTAAGTTTTGAGAAATTGGTATTATTTATTTATTTTGATTTGTTTTTATGATGAACACTTTTCCCAGTGCCCTTTGTTCCTCATAGGAAAGAAGAGATCCCTCCAAAGTCGCAACCAGTCTCCTTACCTGACGAACTGAATCGGGTTCGATTATCACGGCATAAGTTGGAACGCTGGTGTCACATGCCCTTCTTTGCTAAAACTGTCACGGGATGTTTTGTGCGGATTGGCATTGGAAACCACAATAGCAAGCCAGTTTACCGGGTTGGTGTTTCTTTCCGTGGTCAACTGTTCATGTTTTAAACACAGTGGTTCTCATTTGGGAGAACTAGGAGCTGCTGAACAAATGTCACCCTTCTTCCACCACTTGATGGGAACATGGACTCCAATTAAGATACCCACAGAATAATGACAGTCTGCAATAACTAGGGAGCAGGCATGACCTGCTGCTGGAAAGAGTTCTTGGAGCCCAAGGGACTGAGAGGTTTGGATTGAGAGTAAATTCTCTATCCTCTGTTAATATAAAAATGAGGAGACATTGATGAAGTAGTCACTGGAAGTTACATAATCTGGAAGTTTTGTTTATTTGGAAAATAAATGAAAAGTTTCCATGTTATATAACAAGTGACTTCTTGAACAGGGAATTATATTGTGGTTTAAAAAAAATTACAGAAACTCCCCTCTAACCTAATAGAGGTTATTTGATGGATTCCAGCACTTCTTCTATGGTCTAAATGACTGAACCATAACATTTAATTTTTATTTTTATTTGTTTATTTTATTTTTTTTTTTTTTGCTTTGCTTTTTTATTATTCTGGCTTGTCTGGCTTTTAACATGTGCTCACTTCCTGTGAGACCCAGTAGCCATGCCATGCCATGTCTCAAGAAGCTTTACAATAGAAACTCACCTCCCTGGTCTTCACACTCGGTTTATAAAACTGCCCTCTGAAATCCCAAATATATCCCTTAGTATAGAGTTAAGTTGGAGGGAGAACTTCGAACAGGCCCACCAAGCTAACTGCCTCCTTTCCTGGCACTTGTTTACAGCAGGCACAGAGCTTCTTAATGCTTGATGCTCATGAGTGCTAAACCTAAGAAAGGTGCCCAAGATACTAGGCACCTGTGGGCCCCTCTCAATGCTGCATCCAGGTCAACAGAGCCAAAGGGAGAGGGGAGTGGAGAGCTCTGCAAGTCTGTTTTTGACTGTTGTCTCTGTCTTTCGCTTAGGTTGCTGAGATAACGGGTGTTGTAGAAACTGCCAAAGTTTACCAGCTGGGAGGCACCAGGACAAACAAAGGGCTGCAGCTACGGTAGGAGAGGTGTTTCTCTGGTCACATCTGCTCCCACTGCACACGGGCACTCCCTGTTTGGGCTGACGCTCTCTCCCAGTTTGATGTTTCTCCTTACACTGAGCACTGTTTTGTCCACACAGGGAGCTTGGAGAGAAACTTGTATACTGCCTGCACCTGTAGGGAATGTGGAAAATGTTTCTCCCATAAGGGGAAATCAGAGAATATGAAGTGGTAAAACATATATAAAATGAAAAAGCCCAGTTGGGGGGATGGGGTGGTGACATACATCTGAGAAGGTGTAAACTTCTCTTTCATGTATTGTAAACCACTGTTGCCTCAATAGAGAAAAAAAAATTTTTCAAGTCCAGTTGTGAGAGCCCCTCCTATAGCCCTGCAGGCATTTATTTCCTTTGTGAGCGTGGTCAGGAGACCTCTTTCTGGTACTGACTGTAATCACTAACTGACATGATCTTTGACAAATCAAATCACCACTCTGGACTTACTTTCCTCTTCAATATCATGATATTACTGAATACCTGCTATGAGGAAACAGTATTATAGGCATCAGGATAGAGGCAAAAACAAGAGAGATACACGGTTGTGGGGGGAACAGTTAAACAGTTGGGGTAGGGCGTGGCTATGATATGCAGAGTTGCTGTTCCTAGAAGAATGGCAGAGTCACTTAACGTTGCTTGCACTGCAGTAAACTTGCACATTCTTGGAGATGCTGTCTCTTTTCTCATGTAGGCATGGCAATGACCAACGAGTGTTCCGCCTAGAGTTTGTCTCAAACCAAGAATTCACTGAAAGTGAATTCATGAAGTGGAAAGAAGCGGTAAGTAGATAACACCCAGCAGTTCGTGAAAATTCTGAGTCTCTGTCCAAAATCTCTTAATAACCTTTATCTCATTTTGATCCAGATGTTCTCTGCTGGCATGCAACTCCCCACCCTGGATGAAATCAATAAGAAGGAATTATCCATTAAAGAAGCCCTTAATTATAAATTCAACGACCAGGACATTGAAGAGGTAAGAATCCTGGGGCCTCAAAGCCTGGAAGTTCATCAAGAACCATATTTACACAAGATCATGACTTTCTTTTCTTTCCCTGTATCTTGACAGTTATAGCTCTACTATTATGACATGAAGTTGAGGGAAAACTAACCTTGCTGCTTTATTCTTTCTGGTTCATCAAGGTTTTTTCGATGCTTTCTCATTGAAGTCATAGACTAAAGAAGTATATTCAAGTTCAGGGATCTGTATTCTGCTAGGCTTGGTCCTTTAAGAGTTTTCTTTCTCCAAAACATTTTAGTAAAAGTCTTTGATGTCTGTTCTCTTGGACAGTGGCTAGCCTTACAGTACCAGGCCCTTGGGCTGCTGCTGTTTATTGGTGCATGTTCCTTCAGACTGTCCCAGAAGAATCTCCGTGACCCTGGAAGCAGCATAGTATCCCTTGGAATGAACTGGCTCTCTCTCTGGGACATGACACTGCTATAGGAAGAGCAGCCCCCTTTTAAATATCTGCTTGCTTGCTTCCAAAATGGGCTCATTCAGCCTGTCTACAAAACTAGTTTAGGAATACCTCACTGCTGGTATCTCCTCTCTGGTACAGATTGTAAAAGAGAAAGAAAGGTTCAGAAAAGCTCCACCCAACTATGCTATGAAGAAGACTCAGCTGCTAAAGGAAAAGGTAAGGACTTGTGCTTGCCCTTTTTGCCCCATTCTGTAAGGAGATGATGGAACTTGTTCGTCCTCTGCCCAGTTAGCGGGTAGAGTTACTGCACTCACTTGACTGTAGGCAGCGCAGTGCTGTCTTGGTACCTGGAGAGCATTCCTTGCCCACGTTCCTTTCTGTCCATTGAAACTGATCTCGCTTTTTCTCTTCCCCTCACTGTCTAGGCACTTTAGTATCATGTGTCATGAGATACCCTGGGCTGGTTTCAGCACTGGGTCGATGTAGTTGTGGTTGGGTGGTTTCCATTCTTCAAGTCAGGGTAGAATGAACTGTGCTAGAGTGTTAGCCACATGGGACCGGGCTTCTGAAGTTAATTTACACATCACTGCTGCCCTGGACCCAGAAGCAGCTAGCTATATGGAAACATGGTAGACAGTGTTGCTACTTTAATAAAAACTACAGTGTTTATATATTTGTAAAATTGGTTTTTAGTGTTCTTTCACATCTCGTGTCATTTTGTTCATCACTGAAGATAGCTTACCTGTGCTACAAGGAAGGGGACACTTGATATAGAACCACTCATAACCCAGAACTCATACTTCCCTCTGTGTGCAGGCCATGGCTGAGGACCAGGGGGATCAAGACAAGGCCAAACAAATCCAAGACCAGCTGAATGAACTGGAGGAGCGGGCAGAGGCCCTGGACCGCCAGCGAACCAAGAACATCTCTGCCATAAGGTGCGTTACTGAGCCTGATTTGGTTGGGCTCCTATCCTCCTTAGCCCTTAGGCCTTGCCAGAATTATCAGGCAGGCCTGTGGCCTTGTACACTCTGTGCTGCATAGCTCCATGTATCTCCGGGGTCAGGCTCCCTGACTCCCTCCCTCCTGTCACAGTCCACTGACTCGCTCCTCTTACTCACTCCACAGTTACATCAACCAGCGGAACCGGGAGTGGAACATTGTGGAGTCTGAAAAGGCCCTTGTGGTGAGTAAGAATTTTATGTGTATAATTGAAAACCGTTGTAATTAATAAATGATAATGAAATCTCTGTATCTTGCTCGTGCTTTTTTTCTTAGTTATTGAAGTAACGTATACCCTTAACATACTCACTCTTTCCGTATGCACACCTAGCCCCATATGGTTTGGTTTATAAGGAAAAGCAATCTTCTGCCTTGTCTTAGCCCTCCCCATCTTAGAATCTACTCCACGGGTATTCATATTGTTTTGTCAGCTTGCAATTTTGTTCTTTGGTTGTTGCTCCATGTCTGTCCTGGTGTTCTTGATAGCTTCTGAAATTTTTCAGGGCCTTGCAACCGTTATTTAGTTGTAAGCTTATGATGACTGGGGCGCGTAGTGGTGGTGGGGCGGGAGTGGGTGATAGAGTTCTATAATGTAAGCACTCTGTTTCAGGCTGAAAGTCACAACATGAAAAACCAACAGATGGATCCCTTTACCAGGCGACAGTGCAAACCTACCATCGTTTCTAATGTGAGTGCCTAAAGAGGGCATTTTTAGTCAGGACCTAGATTCTGGGATAGAAAATGAATTCCACTAGGAGATTAATAAAGAGGTTAAAAATAATGTTGTCTTAGTGGGATTTGCTTGCCTGAAACGCTTGGGTCTGGATACTTCCTTTTTTATCTTGCTGTAAGACATATAGGTAGTGAAAACCTGGCATGGATTTGTGGAAACCTGTGGGACTAACCTCCCTGTGCTGGGGTGGGTTTACAGTGCAGCAAACTGCAGAGCTGTTTTTGTTTTTTGTTTTTTTTTTTTAAGATTGATTTATTTATGCATACTAGAATTGGGATACAGGCCAGAGGTGCGGGGGGTGAGTGGATTCACCAGAGACAGAATGGGGAACAGAACAGGCAGACGGACTGAAATACACTGTTGAGGGGAGCAGCAGGCGAGACAGGAGAGGTCTGCTGCGCCATGTGGGTAGCCCCCTGCCTGGCCAGGAGATCGAACTCAATGCTGCAGTGGCTGCAGATAGCTTCATAGTGCTGTGTTTAACCCCTTGCACCAGGGTGGCCCTGACTGCAGAACTTTTAATTGCCTCTTTTTGCTACCATTGAGTTGCTAATGGGTTCACCAGCTTATAATGTTAGTGGTTCTAGGTAGAAAAGAATCTGGTGTTGTCTCACTGATTACTTGATGATAAAAGATCTGATATTCTGTGTACTCCAAATACTACTAGAATTGAAATATGGAAATGTGGTTCTTTGAACTCAGTTTCTTTCTGTTATTTAGTTATGTGTACTACATAGAAATAAACCTTAGCTTATAAGTTGTTATAAAGCTTCAAAGAAAAAAGAGAAAGAAAGAATCTGGAAGTGAGTGTTGAACAATCTCCACAATAACTTATTTTCTTTCTCAGTCCAGAGACCCAGCTGTTCAGGCTGCCATCTTGGCCCAGCTGAATGCAAAATATGGTTCTGGAGTATTACCAGATGCTCCAAAGGAAATGAGCAAGGCAAGTATGACCTACAGTACTAGGCTGCTGACCTGCACACTGCAGCAAGCCCCTGTCTAGTCTGGGCTTGATTTTCCCAGCTGGGGGAAAATGGTGTCCCATTTGAGGTCCTTTCTCCATCCCACTTGTTTACACATTTAACAAACAGCTGCAGACAGGTTGTGAATTTTGTTCTTGACTGTGGCTTTACACAGCTGATAACTAACCCTCTACTCCTTATTTTCTCATATGTAAAATGGGGAGAATAGCAAATACTCTACTTACTTCACAGGACAAATAAGGGGGGCAGATGACATGTAAGGATTAGATAGTTGTAAAGGTGAAAGCTCTTTGAAAACTAAAATGTTAAACTCATAGAAACTACCAATTTTGAAGCAGTTTAAAAAAAAAAAAAAAGCAGTTTTCTACCTAAGTTAGATCTTTTCCTTTGGTGCCCAAGCTCTTCCAGGAATCCCTGAAATTTCAGCTCAGAAGGCAGCTTCTTATCTTACCGCCACTCTTTACCCTCACACCACAGCATGAACCTTCCTTCTCCTCTTTGCTTTTAGGCTTCTGAAAAGAAACCTCTTTGTCTCTGACCTCTGCTGTCCTCCCTCTGGAGAAGGAGTTAGAAGAGGGCCTTAATAGGAATATAGAATGAATTTTGAGCTAGAGCTTTTATCATTGGTGTCTGCTGCTATTTAAAATCCTCTTGCATTTATACTCTTTAATAATTAGATTCCTCTTCACATTGCAGGGTCAGGGAAAGGATAAAGATTTGAATTCTAAGTCAGCCAGTGACCTCTCAGAAGACTTGTTCAAAGTACATGATTTTGATGTGAAGATTGATTTACAAGTTCCCAGCTCAGGTAGGTACCTGTGGGGATGGTGATGGCCCAGAACCAGATCACTCCGTGACTCGCTCAGCCAGCAAGAAGGCCTGCTGTTAGGGAAGAAATAGGGGTACCTGCTCATCAGTACTTAAAAAGGCCAGACTAAGAGAGGCTGCAGGTATGTTGAGAGCAAGCAGCCAGGAAGGCTGTCTGAAGGAGTGCAGCGTAAGATCTAAAACAACTTTGTAGGTACTTCAGATGCCAATGTGCTCTTCTTTCCCATAGAGTCAAAGGCTTTGGCCATCACCTCCAAGGCTCCGCCAGCCAAGGATGGGGCTCCAAAGAGATCTCTGAACTTGGAAGACTACAAAAAACGACGGGGGCTTATTTGAGCGCACCCAGCCTGCTGCTTCCGACCCTGCATGCCCCATCACAGTGCCCACCTTTCCTCTTTTCCTTTGATTTGCCCTCTTTGGGCTGGAGCAGCAGTAGAACTGGGAAGAGACTCTAAACTGCCAGTCATCTGTAATATAAACCATTTACTGTATAGACCTCCCTTGTCTGCACATCTCCCACCAACCCCAGGCAGGCCCTACCCAGAGCGGACCTGGGCTCTGGGGTTTTATCCATGTCTTTAGATTTGTGTTTGCCTTTTTTTTTTTCTTTTTTTTTTTCTTTTTTTGCAAACCAGCACAGTTCATTGGCCACTCTGCACGCATTCAGTATTACCGTGGAGCTGAGATTCTTGCTGGAGCCCCTGGTGGCAGTAGCAGCAGCACTGGGCAGTCTCCTCAGTGGATTGCCTTGGACCCAACCATTGAACATTTGGCACCTGACCTTTGTGGAGGGAGTGGGGACTGGGCACCTGCAGTCCTCCTTCCTCTCTCCTCATCTTTCTCTCCTTCCCATCTCTGTGGAAGAGAGGTTTTCAAAACCAATTTAGTTTCCCAAAAGTGTACATTTATGGGGAGGGAGGGGGGTCTATTTGAGAGAGAGAGAAAATGCGCGCGCGTGTGTATGTGTGTGTGCGTGTGTTTTGTGTGTATGTGTCTATGTGTGGATTTTTTTATCATTTTTTTAAAATGCAGTACTCTTTGTATCTAACAGTCTGTCATGGGTCTATAGCTGTTTCAGATATTTTTCAGCTGTACTTGAGCATCTGAAACTGCAAGAAAGAAACTCATTAAATGTGATTCTTCTTACTAAACAGGCCTGACTGCTGTAGCTGTGTAACTGCCCCTTCCCCACCTCCTCTTCCCCATCACCTCCTCACCTTGGAGAAAACTCCCCAGTCTGGCCTTTGCCCTCTAGGCCAGGGAGGAAAGCCTACGGCCAGGTACCAGGGAAGGTAGTGCAGGTGTCTCGCTGTCCCATGGAGACCAGGGCCCTCAGCTTCCGGCTGAACGCAGAGTGTATCTTTTCCCCACCCCTTATACTTGTCCCTTCCTAGTGATTCTGTTTTGTTGTTTCAGCAAGAATAATGTTTTGTTTTGTTTTTAAGAGCAAGTATTCAACATGAATGTGGAGAGAACGAACACAAAGATAGGTTGCAGATGTTACAAGCTTGTGCAGTTTCGTGTGTGTGCCTGTGTCTGTGTGTGTGTGTGTGTGTACATATATATGGTAAGCATATATATTGTTGTGCAGCTAGGGTAAAACCAGCAAAGAAGTGTGTGTGTCTTTATGAAATGTTTGAAAAGAGATAAGCGGACTGCTTGATAATCATTCTCAGGTGTAAAGCTCCAAGTGTAAATAAAAGTGGCATTTAACAAATCTTTTCAGAACAAAGTACAGCTGACTATATATATCAAGAACTAAGGTAAAGAAACAGCTGAGAGCTGCTAATTCCCACAAGAGGGAGAGAAATCTAAAAGCTTTGCTTGGTACTTCACCCTACTTTTCCGTAAGGAAGGGGGATGATGGGAATCATGGAGTTAAGTGGTATTTAAACATAAAAATGAAGTTGGTAACTCTTCTGGGTTGAATAGAGCCTCAGTGTTGCTTTAACTTAGTTTACACTTTTTTATTTAAAAAAAAAAAAGCAGCAATGGATGGTTTTTTAAAAGTATTGTGACTGTAAAATTGATAAATATGACTGTAACACAGCTATGTGGTAGCTGTGACACAGTTCGGTTGGGCAAAGGAATGGTGATGGACTTGTTAAAATCATATATACTTGAATAGTCCATTAACCAAAACTCTTTATAGGTTATTGTGTAAATGTGGAATCACAGACTGTTAAACATTGTCTGGACCCTGGCAGAGTCCCGGAGGCTGCTGGGACCTCTCCTATCATGACGAACTTGGACTATTTTTCTTTATTGTTTTAAAAGACATGAAATTATAGAATCCATACAATTTGCTGGAATCATTCTGGTCCACCATGTAGATCTGTATTTAGTATCATTTCGATTTGGAGAAGTGTCAATTACATTATGGCTGTGTAATAAAATTTTTATTAAAACTGCATCACACTGTAGCCACTTTGCCACATCCCCACATGCAGCTGCTGAAAATTTCCTTCTGAGATGCCAAACACAGCAGAGAGAAAAGCCAACCGAAGAAGACCCAAAAGTTAACTTAGTGCCTAAGTAGCCTACTTGATGACTGGAATTAACACTGAGGACTTGACCCCAGTCACAACTGAAGCAGGGTCTCTGAACTCAAGTCTTGACCAGGCATAAGATATTCATGGCTTTGTCCCACCAGCTGGAGCCTTTTGGTGGTTAGCAGTAGTTCTTGTGCTGAGGAATTCTTGCAGCAGTCCCCTGCTCCAGCCACCCGCCCCCTCCCCCCACGGCCCCACCCCTGTGGTTTCAGTATTGAAGGGCAAAGCCCCTAAGCCTATTTTACACGTTTTTAACTTCCAGGAACCAGAAAGGCCAATGTCCATATGCCTAGTTCATCATCTAAGTCTCTCTTGTTTCTGTAACTTCCCTCAAAAAGAATGCTTTTGTTTCTGTGAAATCCTGACCTGTCACTCAAACTATAGATATTTGTAAATAAACTTTATGCCCTGTTTCAACCAGGGGATCAAATTCAGTCCAAGGATTGCATCCAAAGTGGCAATTCTCAGTCGTGTTCTGAAAGTCCAAGAGGCCCACTTGTTCCGTTTCTCTCCTTCCTCTTTTCTTGACCCAGTACCTCCAAAAGTGAAAGTAGCTGTTTTCAACCCTTCAGCCTAGGGCCCCCAAAGCCTCCATGCTATGGTAGTTGTCTAGAGCCAGGGCAACCTCCAACTGGCCTGGTTTACTTCCTACCTTGGAAAATACAATTATGCTTTAACGAAAACTAGGTAGGCCCTGACACACTGTCCAGCTCTAGTGAGAGTCTGGTCCTCCCAGCTGTCGGTTGGCTAAGGGCACAGTTCCTTTGCTGTCCTGTTTTCTGCCTGTTGTATGAGTATGCCCCTAAACTGGGGAGCTCTGTAAGACTCACCAACCCTACTACTTGTAACTGTATCAGAGCTTTCTGACCATCTTTTAGCTAGGAAGGCAGATCCCAGGTCATCTGGAGAGATGGGAAACTGGGAGGTGACAATCACAAAATGGAAGGAACCTAGTTCAAGGCTGCCTCTGACCACTGAGGTTGCAATTATGACCACTGAGGTTTTCTCCAACTCCCTGTCATTTGCTACCTGACCATTGTGCGTTCCTGAATCCTAGAGAGTACAGTTTCTGCGCAGAGGACAGCCTGGCCCCTTTTATTTACCAGGGCCCAAACAGACAAGACAGCCCTTTGAGAATCTGTCTTGTCATCCCTGCTCCCAGTCAAAGGATCTGAAGGCTGCCACCTCTCCACTCCTCCAGCAGGATCAGAAAGAGTGTGACCTGACCTCCCTATCACCAACAACAGCAATTTAAAAACAAACAAACAAACAAAAAACAACTACCAAACCGAAAAATAGGGGTAAAGAAGTCCAACAAAGTTCTGATCCTCCCCACCGTGACCACCTTGATGCCGCCTTCAAAATACTCTTTTCCCCCTCATTTAGCTTTCGCTGGCCCTGAATTGCTAAGCGCATGTGGAGACCTCATCCTGCTAAACCACTCACATGTTCACCTCTCCTGGAATGCTCTGGTCTGTCTGCATCTATTTTCCCCGGAGAACTCATTCATTCTTCAGCACTCGGCTGAAGTCACCTCCTCCAGGAAGCCTTCCCTGAAGAGCCCCTCCCACTCGGGTGTGGGAGCACCTCCAGCCGGCTTCTCCAGGCGCAGCACTCACCACGATGTTCTGCTGTTATTTGTGAGTCCACCCCCAGCCTTGAACCTACGACCTCGAAATTTCCCTATCCCGAGCACCCAGCGCCGCCTAAACGCCCAGTAAACGCGGTGGAGAGAAGCGTTGCGGGGTGAGGGAGGTGGACGTCCAGCCTGAGGCGCCGTGTTGGGGGGATTCGACCCTTCCTCCCCCAGCCCCGTCTGTCCCCAGACCGCCGCGCGCTCGGCAGTGAGACCCCGCGGCACGGACGCAGCCCGCGGCGAGAAAGGTCTGCGGCGGGTCTGGGCGGGTCTGGGCGGGTCTGCGGAGCCGACGGCTTCGTGGCCTCTGCGCGCCCAGGCCCGGCCCGGCCCGCGCCCCGCCAGAAGGCGGTCGGCTGCCTGCTCGAGCGCGCGCCCGCACCGTCAAGCTTGAACCGCGTGGGGCTCGCGTCGGTCCCGGGGTCCTGCTAGTTGGAAACGGGGGCCTCAGCTTTCGGGCGCGCTTCTGCAGCGTGACCGAGGTGCCCTTCGGCCCCTGACACCCAGGCGGGCAGGCCCTGGCTTCCAGACCCCAGCTTGCTCGAAGAAGCTTCGGGTGACCCTGGTGCCGACCGTCAGCGGAGGGCCTGCGGGCTCGGCGCCCAGCCCTCGGGGGGATGTCAGGCCGGCTGGCAGAGCAATCACCCACAAAATGAAAGACTGTGCCTGCTCCCCTCGGCATTTAGAGGGTTGGGGCTGTCGGGATGGGACAAGAGGACCGCACCCGAGGGCTCTTAGGGCAGCCCCGAAGCCCCGCCCCGCCCTTCCACGTCCCCTCGGCCTGTACCTGGCCCTGGGAGAGAGCGCTGTAGGCTCCAAGTCTGCAGAAAAGGAGGGAGAAGCACAGGGACTCAGGCTCCTGGGAGGGATGGAAAGCCTTGTTTCTGAAGTGTGTCAGGAGAGAGCATGTTCCTCTTGCGCGCACACGGGGTGGTGACACATTTTGTTCCTTTTAGATAAGACTGATTCAGATGGTGGAGGGTCAGTGGGCACTGCTGGCTCTCTAGTCCAGCTAAATGAGCCTCGCATCCAGTCCCAGAATATTCCTGGTTAGGATCGCAGATGGCATGGAGAGGGGAAACCCAGAGGTAAGGGAAAGGGCCTGGCAAAGAAAGGTGAAGGCATTCACTCACTGCTCCTCCTGGGAGGAAAGAAACCTCCAGTTCCTACCCATCCTCAAGTTCCCCTGCACCCTGGGTCTGGCCGGCTCGCCACTGGCATGCTCTGAGCAGAGAAGGGCTTCGGGCTGCTCAGGGAATGTGGGGATGCATGAAGCTTCTGAAAGACCAAGGTTCCCAGGATCTCACTGACAGTCCCTTGGAAAGGAGTAAGTGCGGCCGTGTTGCAGCCTGGGGCCTGTTTTCTGGTTGGGTCACTTCTTGTCCATTTCCTTCCCAGAAGACAATGTGAATGCTACACCACCAACACTCTCGGTGAAGAAGGGGTTCATGGGAAGTCCTTGTTCCTATATCCTTTTCACCTAGCACAGTGCCTGGTTCAGAGCAGCTGCTCAATGGACGTTTGTTTGCTCTGTGAGTGAGTGAATGAATCACTGATATTGTCACAGAATATTGGACTCCTGGAGAACACCAGGCTCCACACAGTATGTCTATAAGTTGTGATTAGAGGAACCACCTGGCCACCTGGCCGAGAGGACCATGTGTCACTGTCCCCTACCCCCACGCCCCGACATACCCACAATGACTCTGGTCTCTCTGGCTAGGGCTTCAAGTCCCCTCAATCAACAGGTGCCCCATTCAGGAGCGCAGATCAAAGGCTGTGTTCCATCCCCTCTCCTCTTGGTGAGAGGCCCTACCTGTGAGTCTTTTTTTTTTTTAAGATTATTTATTTATGCATACAAGAACTGGGGTACAGGCCGGAGGTGGGGTAGTGGCGAGAGGATTCACCAGAGACAGAGTAGGGAACTGAACAGGCAGATCTACTGAAACACTGCTGAGGGGAGCAGCAGGCGAGACAGGAGAGGTCTGCTGTGCCATGTGGGTAGCTCCCTGGCCGGGGATCGAACTCGTGCTGCAGTAGCTGCAGATAGCTTGGTAGGTTTCCTCTTAACCCCTTGCATCATCAGGGAGACCCCCTACCTGTGAGTCTTGGGAAGCAGTGACCTTGCTCCTGCCCTGGGTCCACTAGTGCTGCCCTGGAGGAAAGGCAGGGGAAGGTCAGGGCTAAATGAGGCAAGTCCCCAGAAGCCTCCCACCTCTCACATGCTTTTTTCCAGGTCCTGTGCCCCAGGGATTTTCCCCCCTTAGAGATGTAGCCCTTAAGACTGATAAATCCAGAAGACCAGGGAGAGGAGTGATAACTCAGGAACCCCAGAAAACTACAGGAGAACCCCTGAACTGAAATGCCACAAGAAAAAAATCCATTCTCTCCTTGGACATATGAATGGCCTTGTGGATAAGTCTGTGACTTGTGTGGCCTATCTCAGAACAGCCACCTAGTGACCATTTTTTGCAGCATATCAGAGACCTTTCCTCTCCCTCCATAGTAGACAGTTTAATATTCTCTCTTCACATTCCTCTAGCCATGCCATCGCACACCCTCAAGCACTGGAGAAACTGAGGCACAAAGAACCAGATTTTAGGATTCAAAGGGTTATTCTTGACCCAGAGGATATGAGAGCCCCTTGACTTTCTCCCACAGATACACAGGGATAGCCACGCCCTGGGCCTTCATGTTTCTCCCCTGTGGTTGGTGGAGGCCAGCTCTGCCTTCCTTGGGTAAGGAACAGGGGCTGAACGACAAGATGTTATTGAGAGAAGTAGCATAACGCAAGGAGAGGGCAGGAGACCTAACCAGGACACACCCTGGCTTTTCCACCAAGTGTCCGCATGGCTATATGCAAGAGCCTTAATCTCCCTGGTTGAGTCACTTTACTCTTTTTTTAAAAAAATTATTTATTTATTTATACAAGCACTGGGTACAGTCAGAAGCGCGGGAGGGTGAGAGAATTCACCAGAGCCAGAGCGGGGAGCAGAGCAGGCAGAAGGACCAAAGTACACTGCTGAGGGGAGCAGCGGGCGGCAGGAGAGGTCTGCGCGCCATGTGGGACCCTCCTCTGGTGGCCGGGGAGTGGCCCGGGAGCCACCGGGGAGGCCCAAGTCACTTTATTCTTTTGCTAAGGGCGGTTCCCACTCTCCACCCCTAGAAAGGTAGCTCTCATTTCAATACCCATTTCCAGGTTTGCCCTTACCTTTCTGGTGAGAAACACCTGGGCAGATATGACAAAGAAGTCCTCTTTGGTTGCTGCCCTTGGCCAAGGGCCTGATACAAGAAAAGGCACTGCCCCTGAATTTTCTCTTGGCGGCCAGGATGGAGACCTAGTTCCCAGCCTGCGTGTGCCTCCAACATTGCCCACACACTGCTGGGCACCCAGGTGGGCAGTACATGTCCTTCCTTGACAGTTCTGGCTCATTCTCCACTCTGCGTATGCCACCCGCCCCTGCCCCCTTCTGTGGGCGGCACCTTCCCAGATGCTGTGGACCCTGGTAGTTCCAAAGGAGGGAGAGACGTGGAGGGGGCAAGGGTGTTTCTGGGTTTTCAAGCTCTAGAGTACGCCCTTCCCACTAACACCGAGGTTCCGGCGACCTCTGCCTCGAGGAGGAAGCCTGTGCTACCCCACAGTTCTCCACCCAGGACTCAAACTCCCGTATTTCTCTCTCTTACCCCTTCACTCCCATCCTCTCTACCTGCCACTCCTTCACTTGCATGCATTCCCCCAGGACATGCTCCCTTCTTCGTGGCGAGGATTTCCCTTCCCTCGTTGGATCCTCCTTTCTCTCTCCCTCTGGTCATCCTGGAGTTCTGGCTGAAAGGAGGAGGGAAGGAAACTTCTGCATTGCTTCACTCAGAGCTGGAGCACCTCCTGCGGGTGCTCTCTCCACAGGCCCCAGCCGCCCTTCAGCGCCGGGTGCCTGATGAGGGGTCCTCACCGGCGGCATTTGGGGGAAGACAAGAATCCCTGAGAAATCCCGGCTTCTATGCAGCTGGGACTTGCAGCTCAGCTGACCACTCACCTGGGAAGCGGGTGAAGACCCGCCAAGAGCGATGCCCCCACGAGCCGCATTATTGCAGTGCAGGAAAACCTCCCGGGCATCTGTGGGCTCTTCCAGAGGCTCCGGTGAGGTTCCCTAAATTTACCAGTGAGGAAGCAGGACTCTGAGGGCTCAAGGGGCTGCCTAAAAGCACATCTAGAATGTGGTGCAATAGAGAGCGGCTCTTCCTACCCCCCCCCCCCGCACTAAAACTGTTCTCACCTTTTAGAGATTCCACACTTCTCGTTCTGTTTTATTCTCACAGCAATCCTAAGAAGTGGCAACAACCTTGCGGAGGAGAACCAGCAGTTCAAGGAGGTGCAATGACTTGCTCAGGGCCACCAAGGCCAGAGCTCCCCAGGGAAGCAGGAAGAAGGGCTCCGTCCACCCCCCCCACCCCCGGCCCCGGACGTGGCCGAGGCCTGCGCTCACCACCTGGAGGCATCCAGGACCCGCCTCCTGACCTTGTTCCCTGCCCTCCGCGAGGCGGGGAGCTCGGGAGGGAGCGACCTCAGTTGGTCCCAGGATAGTCCCCTCTGGGGGCTCACTGAGTGGGGTGAGGCTCCTTCGCGAGGCTGACGGCCCAGCCCGACCTCTGGGCGGCAGAGGCTGAGGGTGGAGAAAAGCCGCGGCCCGGGAGACTCGGACAGCTCGGCCCGGGATGCCCCGAACTCGGAAAGGAGCTCGGAGGAGCCGCGGCGAGCGCAAGAGCGGGGCCGGCTCCTCTCCGGCGGGGGCAGAGCCCGGGGCGGCGCCAGCGGGGCTTCTTCCCAGCCCCGGAGCCGGGAGCAGCTGGAGGGCCCGGGGGCGGAGCGGCCCCGCCCGAGTCCTCGGGCCGCGCGGGGGGGCCGCGGGGCCGGGCTGGGTCGGCGTCCACGCGGTCCGGGCTTCCCGGCCGCCGGAGCCCTCCCCGCCGGGCCCGTCCTCGCCGGCCCGCGCTTTCCCTGAAAGCGAAAGGAGTGGGCGGGGGGCGCGGCCGAGGCGGGGCCGGGCGGGCGGGTGGCCGCGCAGGCTCCGCCTCGGGGCAGTCCCGAGCCGGGGGCGCCGAGCGCCTCCATTCCCCGCCGCGCCGCGGGCTGGTGGGCTCCGCTGCGGCGCCGCTGCCGGGACATGACCCTGCCCGGGGGCCCGACGGGCATGGCGCGGCCTGGGGGCGCGGGGCCCTGCAGCCCGGGGCTGGAGCGGGCCCCGCGCCGGAGCGTCGGGGAGCTGCGTCTGCTCTTCGAGGCGCGCTGCGCCGCGGTCGCCGCGGCCGCCGCTGCGGGGGAGCCCCGGGCCCGCGGGGCCAAGCGGCGCGGGGGCCAGGTCCCCAACGGGCTCCCGCGCGCGCCCCCGGCCCCGGTGATCCCGCAGCTGACGGTGACGGCCGAGGAGCCCGACGTGCCCCCGGCCAGCCCCGGGCCGCCCGAGCCCCAGGGCGGCTGGCTCCCGGCCGCGGGCTCCGCGCACCTGCAGCAGCCGCGCCGCCTGTCCACCTCGTCGCTGTCCTCCACCGGCTCCTCGTCGCTGCCCGAGGACTCGGAGGACGACCTGCTCAGCGACAGCGAGAGCCGCAGCCGCGGCAACGTGCAGCTGGACGCGGGCGAGGACGCGGGGCAGGTACCGGCGCGGGGGCGGGGCCAGCGCGGCGGGGCCGCAGCCGCGGGGACGCGGGGTCCGGGGCTCCCTCTGCCGAGCGCGCGCTCCCACCGTTGACGGGGGCGCCCGGGCCGGGGCGAAACCCCAGGCCGCCCCGGCGCTTTTCCAGCTCGCGCCCCGGGGCGAGCCGGGGGAAGAGCGGGGCCCCGCGAGGGGCCGGGGGCGCGGCGCCGGCGCGCGGGGGGCGCGGGGGTCGGGGGGCGCCCCGCGAACTCTGGCGGAAAGGGGCGAACGAGTCTTCCTCTCTCCCCGCCCCCTCTCCGGCGCCGCGGCCCCACCCCCGCCGTTGCCACGGTTTCCCTCTCCTGAGTGGGAGTGGAGCGAGCTCCAGGCGCTGCGCCCCGAGCCGCCGCCGTCTGCTCGGGCGCCCGCGCGGGGCGTGGACGCGGGGGGGGCGCGCGGCCGGCGGCCCTGGCACCCGAGCGCCCCGCTCAGTGCTCGCGCTCGGAGCCCGGGGCAAGGTAAACTGAGGCAGACAGCGCGGGATCCCCCGCCGGGCTCGGCCTCTGGCAGCCTGGGGGTCCCGGGCCCAGGTTCGCCTCCCGGGTCACCCGGGTCGGGGGTCGCGAAGCCTCCGGGTACCTGCCCCCGCGGGGCGCGCGGCGCCCAGGGCCGCCGTCTTAGCCTCGTGGTAATCGAGGCCAAATACTTGGCATAACTGCCCGGTCGGCGCACAGGAGAAGCTCTAGGTCCACTTCGTGCGAGTGTTCCCGGAGCCGAGGGAGAGGCGCGGGCCGCGGGCACGCGGGGGGAGAGGCCCGGGGCGCGGCCTGGAGCAGCCGCTGCGGCGCGCGGGCTGCACGCGCGGGGACCTGGCCCGCGCTGGGTCCGCGGCTGGGTTCACCCCGACACTCCACCGTGCGCAGAGGCGGCGCGCTTTGTGCCGCCAGGAGAGAAAGAAAGTCGCGCCGAGCAGGAACACACCCGCCCCAGGCGCAGGGTGCGGGGAGTCCCCCTCCGCGCCCGGGCTAGGGGTGCCCCGACCCCTACGGGGAGGCGGGTGCCGCCGAGGGCTTTCCGAAAGCGGTGGAATGTGGAGCAAGGCGAGGACCGCTCCCTCCCCACCTCCTTGAAAATCCGGAGCAGTCGCCCTGGGTCCGCCGCGCCCCGCCGCTCAACTCCCTGACAGCTGAGAGGCGGGCGCGGGAGGGAAGGCGCCCCGAGGGCAGCCCCCCGCCCCCCTTCCGCCCGCAGGCGGCCGAGCTGCGCGCCGCGCGGGCCCTCCCCGCGGGGTCAGACTCCGGGGACGGGGCGCGGCTGCGCCCCAGGCTTTGGCGTCTCCCCCCCTGACCCCCGGCGGCCCCGGGCGCGCCGGCGCGGGAGCAGATGGCCGCGGAGGGCCCTTCCAGCCCTGCGACTGTGTCTCCCGGGCCTTCCCAACCCCCAGCCCGCCGGGGCCTCCCCGAAGGCAAACAGCCACGGCGGCGGCAGATAAGCCCGGGGCTGTTGACAGAGGCCGCCTGCGTCCGCGTGGAAGGGCCCGGCGCGGACTTTGCCTCGCCGCGGGTCCGGGAGCGGCCTCAGGGCTTCCCGGGGCAGGAAGCTGAGCCCCTCGGGCTTCCCGAAGGGTGCGCCGCGAGAAGGGCGCGCTGGGAACCCCCAGCTCCGGGGCCTCTTGCCCTCGGGCCTTGGGGGATAAAGACGCCGCAGGAGGCCCGGGAAAAGTCTCCAGGTCTCCGCCGGCACGTGCATCCTTCCCCTGCTCTCCTGGGGCCCCGCGCAGCCTGCCCGGAGCTCGGAACCGGCGCTCCCAAGGGGAGCTGGCACTCCCGAGCAGCCTGCTCCTTCCCAGGGGGCCTTTCCTCTCGTAGAGAGAGCCGGGCTGTTCTGTGGGAGGCCAAAGTCATGGGCAGGGGAACCCTCACAGGCGGGAAGAGTTGGGGGCCTTCCCCCAAGGGCAGCTGCCATGGCTTACTCTTAGGCCTCCCCTACCCCTTAGAACAACTTTGAGGTGCTGCTGTGGCGCCTGTTCATCTGGGTCTGTCAGTGCTCCGGGACAGGTAAGGAGACCTGGATGCCATCCCATCCTGGACCCAGAACTCCCATACTTCACTTTTCTAATTATAGAGCAGAATTTAGGTTAAGAGTTCCTTTTTAAAAAGTAAATGCCCCTGGGAGGGTGAAGTCGTGGGTCACTTGTACCTTAGTGCAGATCCTTTTATAAATTTAAACTGATTGCTCTTCCCACCGCCACAGAGTGCCAGTTTGACGGGGGCAACTGGATGGTGGGAAGGGGGTGGCTGGTGGAGCACGTCAACCAGGGACTGGAGGGCTGGGGGTGCTGAGTGGGATTCTAGGGACTCGCACTGTGTGGGTATGAGCACCACAGGGAAAGAAGCTACACTGGTTTTAGAAGCCCAACTCCTCAGGCTTCCAAAGAGAATATAGACAAGAGCAGGGTCTGAGGCTAGTGTCTCCCCAAAGGCAGCTGCTTCCCGTTCAGCCCCAGGGGTGAGGACTTAGCAGAGGGTCCTCCTGTGATTTCATCAGAGTCTTACACACGGTCAGCTCCCCTGAGCTTTTTTGCCCTGCAAGTCGGTTTCTCAGACTTCTGCAGGGTGTAGACTGGGCAAGAGGGTGAGGCGTTGGCCCCCTTTTCAGCTAGAATTCACCCTAGCATAATAAACCTGCTTTCTGATATCCGCAGGCGAAAAGCCTTACCTGCTCCAAAATATCTTCCCTGCTGTTATTCATGTGCCAAAATCCCCACCCACCCTCCCATCCATCCACCCACCGAAGAATGATTCTCCAGGAGCATTTTTGAATACATGCATTTTTATATGCAGCATGTTCCCTGGAAGAGGTGGCTCTTTAAGATGGAAAATGGCAGCGCGTTCCATGACATTTGTGTCAACATTTGTGTCAGTGGTGGAATCCTGTTCCACAGTTACTGGCAGGGGCGCTGAATTCTGTCACGCTAACCTCGGGAAGTGGCTGGGAGGCCTCTATGGATATCATGGAGATGGAAGCTCTTTGGAACCTGCATGGCTGGAAACAGCCTTAGTCACGGCTGCTCTTGAATGATAGGATTCTCACAAATTCAGAGAGAGAGAGAGCAGCTGTTGACCCCACTTTCCCCCAGCTTGGGGGCAAGTCAAATCTGTGTTACCACAGTTCAGTCAAGGAGCAGTTAAGTGGCGCAGGAGTTTAGGTACTGAGTCCTCCTAGTCTAGCAGACCTTCTTGCCTTACTCTCTGCAGGAAAGAACAGAAGGTTCTCCCATCTCACTTGAGGCTGGTTCCCCCTCCCACTGGAATGACTGTAGAACTAGATATACCCTCTGATTAAGTCCATTCTGGTCCCAGTGTCCCCCAAATTCTGCCAATAGGGCTCTCTAGCTACCTGAAGCTCACCATTAAACCTATTCCTTTGGGTGAAGGTAAAAGTATCCAGTGTTTCCCCAGATTTATTTTCTTCTTCTTCTTCTTATTTTTTTGTGTAGAACTGGGGTATAGGTCAGAGGTACAGGGTGGGGGGAATGTGAGAGAATTCACCAGCGACAGAGTGGGGAGCAGAACAGGCGGATCTACTGAAATACACTGCTGAGGGGAGCAGCGGGCGAGGCAGGAGAGGTCTGCTGTGCCATGGGGGTCACCTCCCGGGCCTGACTGAACGCAGACAATAGTGGCGATAGCACTGAGACTCACCCCTGTGCCACCAGGAGGCCCCAATTGTTCCACTTCATAACTGCAGATCACTTCACCCATACAATGCTCTTTCTCATGTGGGTCTCATTTGGCCCTCAAAGGGAGTCAGGGCAGTACCTTGGAATGTACCTTCTGAGGCAGTTGGAACCTGGGGAGGGAGTGGGGCTGGTGGAGAGCTTCAGCGGGAGACTGGGAGTCTGGAGGCAGAGACTCAGGGGATGCTAAGTCCTCTGAGCCTTGATTTCCTTCTGTAAAATTTCCTTGATTTCCTTCTGCTGCTGCCTTCTGCACTTGTTGTGCGTGTGCATCATCATTGTCATCGCAATTCTCAACTGAGTGTGGGAGAGAGGGCAGGGGATGGTTCTGCTGAATACACATGGCACATACATCTTCCTGGAATTTTACTTGAGGATTTGGACGTGGGAGAGTTTTATAATAAAACTTGGATTTATTATGCTGCAGATATTATGCTTGTATATATTTAAAGACCAAAAATGGGAGTTTTGAAAGAGATGTCATGTGTCTAGTGGGCTGCTTCTGGCTACACCCCCAGATCCCTGGGGATTGGACACGTGACCACACCCTATTGTGCCATATAGGGACTGGAGAAGGGAAGCAGGAGCAGCGCTATCTGAATGAAGATGGGAGAGTGCCTGGTAGGCAGTGAGCAGCCAGGAAATGGAGGCTCCTGTTACGGCAGCGGCAGCGCTGTCCTCCCTGAGGAAACTCACGATGACCACATCAGCTCCACTCAGCTAGAGAGCGACAGAACCAACGCCTAACTCCCCATCCAACTCTTCCTCACTAACCCCATCTCCCCACGGAAAGGACTTTATAGTCAGCCGCTTCTCCCTGCTTAGGCCACCACCCAGTTGTCCCTGTGGCCAAGGAGCCTGGACACGCGCGTGCGCGCACTCACACACACACACACACACATCTGTAACTCCTCTAAAAGGCAGGCATCAGACACAATTTGGATGAACAAACCCGTGCACTTCACAGCGTAGACACGCGACTGATAAGTTTTAGGTGGGAAGGGGGAAGGTCTAGGGTTGCCCTCTGGGTTGGGCAGAGAAGCAATGGTCAGAAGGGCATGGGTTCACCCACAGCTACATTTCCCTCACAGGTTCATCTTAGATGAAAGGCCCTCAGCGCTGCATCCCACTTTTTTCCCCCCTCAAAGACTTATTTATTTATTTCCCCCCAAAGATTTATTTATACAAGCACTGGGTACAGTCAGAAGCGCGGGAGGGTGAGAGAATTCACCAGAGCCAGAGTGGGGAGCAGAGAAGGCAGAAGGACCCAAGTACACTGCTGAGGGGAGCAGCGGGGCGGCAGGAGAGGTCTGCGCTCCACGTGGGAGCAGCCGGGGATCGAACCGGTGCTGCAGAGGCTGGGGGGGGGGCAGCTTCGCAACCCAGCGCTCAACCGCTGCGCCACCACCGGGGAGGCCCAGGCATCCCACTTTCTAAGCTCAGGTTTCTGGGTCAGTATCAGGACTGAGGGTGTCCTGGACCTTGCAAACTGATGAGGAGTGATATGGAATCCAGGAATAGCATGAGGGGCTTTGCCTCTTGCCATTCTCTCTTCAGGCCCTGCAAGGCTGGCCTCCCCGCCCTGAGTCTTTATTTTCTTAAATGAGTGGAACCAGCATTCCCAAGTTCAGTCACTCTCCATTTGTCCAGCTTCATGCCAATGAATAGGGGGTGAGAGGGGGAGAGGCGCTGCCATACTCCAGCCTCATTTTTTGCTCATAACCCAATGCAAGTGATTATCTCCCCATTTTACAGAGGAAGAAACTGATGCTCAGAGGCTTGTTTCACAGGCCCCAGAATCTCTTGAGGTATTGGTAAATCCTCACAAATTCTTGGTCCTGCCCCAGACCTACCCAGAATTTCCCTGAGGCCAGAGAATCTGCATGTTAACAAGGGTGACCATCAGATGTTTCTCATGTTCATAAAAGTTCTAAAACCTCCACAGAACAGTTCTGTAACCTGCCCACGCAGCTTGTGAACGGAAAGGGCAGAGCTGCAGGGCCAAGCTGAGCCTTTCCACAGACACCCAGTCCGGGATTACTTTCAGTACACTGGAAAGCCTGTGTGCCTGGTCTGTATACTGTTCCCGGGGCCTGTCTTAGTGCCCCACAGGGGCAGGCCACAGACACGCTTTCCTCGACTGAACGAAAGAATCAGCAGCCCTGGCTGCTCGCGGGGTGGCAGGGCAAGACCGTGTTTCCAAGGAGGGAGGGCTGATGCACCCAGTGCTGAGGCGCTGACGGCAGACCCACACCGTGTCGCTTTCAGAAAAGCCACTGGCAGAAGATCCGCACCATGGTGAATCTCCCGGTGATGAGCCCCTTCAAGAAGCGATACTCCTGGGTGCAGCTGGCGGGGCACACGGGTGAGCAGACGGCAGGTGAGGGTGGCGGGGCGTCGGGGAGGAAGGGCCTGGGTCACGCTCACCGGTGCCGTCTGCAGGGAGTTTCAAGGCGGCGGGCACCAGCGGGCTGATCCTGAAACGAAGCTCCGAGCCGGAGCGCTACTGCCTGGCGCGGCTCATGGCGGACGCCCTGCGCGGCTGCGTGCCGGCCTTCCACGGCGTGGTGGAGCGCGACGGCGAGAGCTACCTGCAGCTGCAGGACCTGCTGCACGGCTTTGACGGGCCCTGCGTCCTGGACTGCAAGATGGGCGTCAGGTACGCGTGTGCCCGGCCGGTTCTGACCCGGACCGAGCTGGGGCGCAGGGCGGGGAGGAGGGCTTGGCGCCGCGCCCCGGGCCACCCTCAAGCCCCGGGGGCTGCCTGCGCCTCTGCAGGACTTACCTGGAAGAGGAGCTGACGAAAGCCCGGGAGCGACCCAAGCTGCGGAAGGACATGTACAAGAAGATGCTGGCGGTGGACCCCGAGGCGCCCACCGAGGAGGAGCACGCGCAGCGCGCCGTCACCAAGCCCCGCTACATGCAGTGGCGGGAGGGCATCAGCTCCAGCACCACCCTTGGTTTCCGCATCGAGGGCATCAAGGTGGGCCAGGCCCGCTTCGCTTTGCGCCGCCCTGGCCTTTCTTCTGCCCCGGCCCCAGCGCGCGGGGTCTGCCCTTCTTGCCGACCCCCCACCCTCCCGAGGAGGCACCCTGTGGCGCCGTCTCCGCCTCGCTGTCCCTGGCGGCCAACATCCTGGGAGGTACCGCTGCTTAGCCTGATCCTCTCCCCTCAGGGGGTGCGGAGCCCCTAACATTTCCTGTCCCGCCTCCTTCAGAAAGCCGACGGCTCCTGCAGCACCGACTTCAAGACCACGCGCAGCCGGGAGCAGGTGATTCACGTCTTCCAGGAGTTTGTGGAAGGGGATGCCGAAGTGTTGGTGAGGCCCGGAATCTGCAGCCCTGCCGTGTTGCGGGCCCGAAGCTGAGGGGTGTCCCCGGGGCATCCAGTAGAGCGTCCTCCCCTGGGTGACTCCCACTGCAGTCTTTACCGCCCGTGTTGTCATTTTTTCCTTCCTTCTGGGTGGCACCCACGAGGGAGCCCGTATTTTCCTAAGGCCTTTGCTAAGCCTCGCGAGCAGGCGTCGCGGCCCCTGATACTAGCAAGGGCTCAGGTGGCGTTTCCTTGACCGGCCCTCGCCCTCTACCCCACCCTCTCCAGAGGAGATACCTGAACCGCCTGCAGCAGATCCGAGACACCCTGGAGGTCTCTGAGTTCTTCAGGAGGCACGAGGTGAGCTGAGCAGCGTCAGGTGTGAGGCTGTGCGGGCTGCAGCGGGCACGGGGTGGAGGGTGCGGGCAGGGCACGCCGGGCTCTGAGCTCCCTGTGTGGGGCCCGGCAGGTGATCGGCAGCTCCCTCCTCTTCGTGCACGACCACAGTCATCGCGCTGGAGTGTGGCTCATCGACTTCGGCAAGACTACGCCCCTCCCCGACGGCCAGACCCTGGACCACCGGCGGCCTTGGGAGGAGGGCAACCGCGAGGACGGCTATTTGCTGGGGCTGGACAATCTCATTGGCATCCTGGCCAGTCTGGCCCAGAGATGAGGCTGGGCCCCTGTCCCCGCAGACGGGAGGGTCTGACAGATGGACGGCGACTGCGTCCCGTCCCTGTCGTGCATGTGGGCTAAGAACTGAAACCCCGCGGTGCGGGGCGGCTCACATGGTCCAGCAGGACCAGGTGCCAACCTCTTGGGGCGCACTGCTGCATGTGCAGCGGGAGCGGTGCCCACGCTAGCCCCAGCATTTCCAGAGCCTATGACACTAATATACAGGGGCAGGGTGGGACAATAGGCTTCGTCCTCAGCTCAGCTCTTCTGAGGGGGCTGCTTACCTTTCCAGAGAGGATGGAAAATGAATTTTATTTCGCAAGCACTAGAGCTATTGGTCTAAACTCACACTACGATGGACTCCCCTTCCCAATAAAAGGAAAAGACACCAGCTTCGGCGACTCCAGCCTCATCCCCTCCCTCCGCTGATGCTCCTTCTCAGTTCTCTGGCATCCCTCGCATCCACTTAGGTTACTGGAGGGTAGAAGAAGAGGTCTTTAGTAGAGATGTCTAGGGATGGTTGCTCCCAGATGAAGGATGCTCGGGGAGGAAAGCAATCCACAAAGGCTTCCTGCAGGAGGCAGTTTGACTCTCCTCCCACCCCTGGGAGGTCACCTCTTTGATCCGAAGATAAAAGGCTGGGAGTGGCCAGGCTCTTCCCCAGGAGACCTGGCATTGGTTTCCAGGGCAGAGAGTCCAGTGATGCCAGGCCAGCCCCGAGACAGGCCCAGACATGCCACGCAGACCACAGGGGACAGAGGCTACTAGAATAACAAGCAGCCTAGAAGCTCCGGGAGGAGTGGAGGGAGGAGCCATTGCTACCATCAAAGCCTGGGTCCTCCCCCTCAGGATCCCTTAGACCCCAGGAGCCATAGGTGAGATTCCAAAGGTTCTGAGCTTGAAGGCCCCTAGATTTGGCAGGGTCATGGCCAGAGGCAGGCAGGGGCCAAGGAGGCTTCCTCTCCAGCTCTTCAAACTCTCCACACTTAGCTCCTGGACCTGTGGCAATCTTAGGCCCTCCAAAGGCCTGCTCCCCTGACCTGAAGTCCCTTGCTCCTCCAGGGTGGGCCCTAGCTCCATCGGCAGGGGTGAATTCAGCACATCCAGGTCCTGAATTGGGAGGGTAGGAGAGCAGGGGGCCGTGGTGTTGTTTTATGGTTTCCCTTCTGACCCTCAAGACCAGGATGGTCAGGGTAGGTGGGGGGACACACCTGAGTGCAGACTGAAGACACTCCAAGATGCTGGCAAAACTGGGGCGGAGTTCAGGCTGGTGCTGCCAACACTGGGTCGTGATACAGTACCCGGGGAGAGGCAGGAGTTCGTGCCTACCCATGGCTGTGAAGCACCTCCCTCCCTGGGCAATACTCCATACTCACACAGGCCTTGGACAGCCCCTAGGAGGATCCATCCATCCCCCACTGACAACCAAGTCCAGTACCTCCTGGTTGGTATGCCCAAGGTCGGGCATATAGCCCAGTAAGAAGATCTCCCAGTAAGAAGATCTCCCAAAAGACCTGATCATGAGGAAGAGGAAGGCCATCAGGCACAGCCTCCCCTTCCCTCACGTGAGTTGGCCAAAGCGGGGCAGGAAGGAAGGCATGTTATCACTAGGAGTCTGTCTTGGATGTGAAGATTCCCTCCAGGAAGGCCTCTGGTGGCGTCCACTTTGCAGGCAGCAAAGCCCGGCTCTCCTTCCAGTAATAACTGGCCCTGCAGAAGAGAGAAGGGGCGTGATGAGGTGTTCAAATATCATGAGGGTGCATATATATTCCCTTAGCGCAGCAGCCTTCCCCACACTAGACTAGCCTTCCTGTCTAGTCCGCACACCTCTAGCTATCTCTTGCCATCCCGAAATCCCCAATCTTGGCCACTCTGCTGGGTCCGGTGCAGCTCAGCAGGCAGTTCCGGGCTGCAATGTCCCTGCAGAGTGGGGTGAAAAAAAAAATCACTGCCAGTCTTGGTTTATCTCCTTAAAAATTATGTGGACTGACAGTTTCTGGGGGATGGAGTTGGGCTGGTGCTCCCCCAAACCAGGATCACTCCCAACTGGTGTATGAAGTGATTTTCCTCCAGATAGTGGCAGCCCTGGGCTATGTCCTGGGCCAACTTGAGCAGGTCCTGCATGGTCAGAGGTGACAGCTGGCCCTGGGTAGGGCAGAGGGCTCATCAGTCCATGTGGGTTTGGGGACAAAGGGAAAGGTCTTTAGAGGGGACTGGGAGCTGAGAAAAGTCTCACCAGGTGCGGGCGGCTGTGCCTCAGGAAACTCTTCGTGTCTCCCCCAGCATCAATCCCAGCAGAATTAATCGAGGGGCGGCCCGGAGGCTGAGCCCCACGCAGCGCACGATGTTCTGATGGCTGAACTTGCTGAGCAGGTGGTGCACACACCCCATCACCAGCAGGGAGAGAAGCCATGCTCTAGGACGCCACAAAACTGGAAAGGATCTCTCTCTCTCTAGCCTTGCCACCTCCCAGCCCCAGGTGAAGAGAGGGTGTTTGTTTCTGCAGGCAATTCTGGGTGCTTCCCTCCCACCTGCCACCCCTGGCCCTGGCCCTGGGCACACCTGATGATGAGCGCCTCCATGAGGAACTCTAGGTCGTCCTGGTGAGAGCAGAGTTCTGGCAGGGTCTGGGGAGGAGAGGAGGGTGGGGTGATCCTAGCTCCAGCAATCGTGCTGCTCTCCATGGAGCCCTGGTCCGCTCCTCCAGCCAGAATGGCACCTCTTCTCACCTTGATAGCCCCCTGCAGAGGGCTGGGGTCCCCAGCAAGGCCAATGACCCGTCCTTCATACACCTCTCCAAAGGCTCCATGGCCCAGGCCTCTGCAGGAAGACAGGTTAGAAGGGAGAGGGTGGCTGGGCCTGGGGAAGGGTGCTAGAGGGTCTAGTGCCTCCTTTACCTCCCTTGTTGCCTCCACCCCATAAGCCCAGCTGGCCCCGTCGGAGGGCTGTGAGCTCTGCGTCATGGCAGGTCCCCCAGTACAAGCCCTGCAGGGGTGCTGTCCACTAGCGCAGAGCCAGAGCAGAGGACAGTGCGGGTGTGGGTCAGGGTGGTGGTGGGAGAGTCTGTGTCTAGGCCTTCCTCTAGGTCCTTGCAGACACCCTGGGGAGGAGACAATCCTTGCTCCTAAGGAATCATATCCCAGGGTCCCTGCCATCCCAAAATGGGGGGATGACAGCTGACCTTGGACAAATGACTCTCGCTTTCGGAGCTCTTCTGGCCTCCATCTCCTCTGGTTTGGGCCAGAAGTTCTTTGGGACCCATAAGTGACCCCAGAAGGGACTAGGATAGGGGTGGGGGTTCAGAGTGCACAGGTTCTCAGAAGGAAGGGGAGGACTCACCTGAGCAGAGTGACTTCGGCTGGGGAGACTTCAGTGAGCCCTGGAGGCAGAGGCAAGGACTGGGCAGGACCAGGTCCCATTTGGCAGTAGTGTGGGTTGGGGGCTGTCAGAATAGTGGAGGCTTGAAGCTTGCTCAGCTCAAGCTCAGGGCCTGGCAGCGCCATCCCACACAGACCCTGACACTTCTTGTGGTTCACTGAGAAGGGGAGGGTGATGGCATGCTCTCTACCTGCCTGCTCAGGCATGCTGCCATACCTCCCCATGCCCAGGATACCCCTCCAGATGCCCATTAAGGTAAGTGTTTTCCCAGGCCTCCCCAGCTACTTGCACTCTTAGAACCCCAGAGGAATCAGCCACGGCTCTGCTGGGAGGAGGGGTCTTAAAATCAGCCATGTCTGCCCCTGGAAACCCACAGAGACCATCTCAGCTAAGTGGAGAGGTGGGCAACCTTGACTCAGTCATATCTGCTGGATGCTCCATACCCAGCATGAAGACCCCACACCTCATGAGGAGGCCCAGTGTCACTGTTACCATCACTGCCACCATCAGAACCAGAGGACCTGGGGGGCGAGGCTGGTCTAGGAGAAAAAGAGAGACACCTTAGTACAAAGCTCCTCTGTCCCTCCACCCCAGGTTTTCCCCAGGCTTCAAGACTCAGCCTGTGTTAACTCTTCCATAATCTCTTCCTTTGACAAATGCAACCTCTTCCTCCCAAGAACCTCCATGGCAATTATCACCTTGGGATACACAGCTACACATCTGTCCCACACTAAACCACTGAGCACCTGCTTTTGATGGCAGAGCACACACTGATGCACCTCCAGGTCCCTGCCCAGCACCTAGCACAGTGCCTGGCACACAGCAGACATCTTTCCCAGTGCCCTTCTGCTCCCCCCAGTCCAGTGGTCCCAGGAGTCCAGATCTTGGGGAAAGACAGGACATACCCCTGCAGGTGATGTTATCAGCAGCTAGCTCCATGCCCTCTGGGCACACGCATTCAGCCAACTGAAGCTCCACCTGCCACTGGCAATCTTTCAAAAAGCAGTAACTACAACTGAGGTGTGGTGGAATCTCCACCTCTCCATGGCTTTCCATGACTCTGAGTGAAAGAACTGACGTTGTGGGGTGAGGGTGGGGGCATATATACTTTTTCCAGCCACATGGTTAATTCTAGACCTGGACTTTGAAACAAGGAGCTGTGCCAGGAATTTAAGGGCGGGTAAGAGAGCTTGGGGAGAACTTCTGCCAAGCCTCACACTCCCTCTTCTGGGGCTCTGGAGTTTACGAGTATTTGAGGTGAATTCATAACAAGGAGATACTTGATAAGCACCCCAGAATGCACCACACTAGCCCAGGTCCTAAGTATTTTGGTGTTGCACAGGAACTGATCATCGGGGAGGGGCCAATACCTGCCAGAGGCTGCAGGTAGAGCTCACAGCTGGGATGCATGAAGGACACCCCATCGTCTCCATCAGCCCAGAGGATATCAGTCTCTGAGGCATGACCCCCTGGAAAATGAAGGTGACAGAGAGTTTGGCTACAAAATGGGGGTTGGGGAGGGCACATAGCTGGGACGCTGCCTGCCCAATAGTGGGAAAGCCGGAGTTCCCCAGCACAAATCCCAGTGTGCCCTTCTTCACTCGACTATTCTAGAACAGGCACTGCCAGCTCACAGCAGGAGGTCACGGGGAGGAAAGGTAGGGAAGGAGTCCAAAGCCAGAACCCAAAGGCTTGGCTCAGCCTGGCTGGGACACATCTTTAAGTGCCCGAACCGCTCTGGCCCCATGTCCTCAGCTGTAAAATGGGGGCGCCCAAGGCACATTTCCTGGGCATCATGTAAGTGTCAACAGCCCAGACAAGAAGAAAGGCTCTGTTTCTTTGCTCCGCGCTTTCCAAACTTTGCAGAGTACTAGGATCACCTGAGGGATTTCCTGAAAACACAGATGGCAGGGACACTCCCCTAGGTTTTCAGATTCAGCTGCTTGGAGGGCCTGAGACTTTGCATCTCTCACCACTCAGGTGGTGCTGCTGCTGCTGCTTCAGGGGCCACATTTTCAGAAGTAAAGACGCAGAATGTGAGCCTGGCTGAGCTCGCCAGAGCCCTGGGGCTGTTGCGAAACAAGGACACCTGCGTGATGGAACAGGCGCTGGATTTAAATGAAAACCTAGGGGGTCCAGTCTGCTTGCGCGATGTGCAGACTTAGCTGACCTCCTTTCTAAGAGCGATTTCTCTGCGGCTGCGGCGTGGGGCTGTACCCTGTGCCCTCCCTTCCCGCCTCTCCTCCCAGCACGCGGCCTGTTCTAAGGCTCGGGCCGGGTTCCGCGCAGGGGCCGCCCGGCGCACCCCGGGGCGCACCCACCCCTGAGGCCCGGCCTCCGCCGCCCGAAGCCGCCGGCTGCGCCCGCTACTGCAGCCCCGGCCCCTGCGCAGCCCCGGCCGCCCTCTGCCCCTTCTAGGGGGTCCCCGACGTCCCGCCGTCCCCCCCCAGTAGGCCGGCGGGCAGCGGGACCAGGGCGCACGGCCGCCCTCCCGGGCCGCGAGTCCCACCCCCCGCCCCGCCCCGCCCCGCGCTGCTCCCGGCGCCTCCGCGGCTTTCCCGCTTCCCGCGCGCGAGCCGGTCGCCTCAGGTAGGCGCGGCCGCCTGCCCCGGCCGCCCCAGCCGTGGCTCCGGCCGCCGGGGTTCGGGGGTCAGGGGCTTCGGGGCGCGTCCTCCCGCCGGGCAGCGGCGCCGGCGCGCGAGAGGGCGCCCGCCTCGGGGCTGAGCTCGGGGACGCGCCCCCGCAGGGCCCAGGATTTGGGGGATGTTAAGTCCATGTGCAGCGCACGTGTGTGCGCGCCCGCGGGGGGCTTGGGGACCCCAACACCGAGCGCTGGGGGCAGAAGGGCCGCCAGAGCCAAGCACTTCCCCCGAAACGCGCAGCGGGCGCCCCCCACGCCCCCGCCCAGCGCCGAGACCCCGCCGCGGCCCCCTGGGGCATCGAGCCCCGCCGCGACCCGAGACTCCCCGAGGGGAAGGGCCGGCTCTCGGGGCTCCCCCGCGGCCCCCGGGGCTGGGCCAGCTCCCGCCGCTCGACCCTCGCCCTGGGGCGCTTGAGCCGCGCGGCTGGAAGGCGCCGCCCCGAGACCCAGCGGGAGACGCCGGAGGCGAAGACCCCACGGGCCCGAGTCAGGGGGTTCGCGGCCCCGCGCCCCCAGGCGGAGACCCCGCGCGCAGTGGGCGCTGAGGCCCGGCCCTTGAGCCCCCCTGGGCGGAGGGTGTGACGAGGCAGCTCGAGAAAGTTCTCACGGGAGTGGAGCCCTGAGTGGATGCTGAAGGGATTCTTCAAAAGTGTGACTAGATTTGCGCCCCATAAATTGAGATCATGCACTTATTTTACAAGGTTTATTTATTTTTTTTTATATAGAGGCATGTTTTTATTTATTTATTTATTATATTTGTTTGTTTGTTTTGTTTATACATGCACTGGGTACAGTCAGAAGCGCGGGAGGGTGAGAGAATTCACCAGAGCCAGAGCGGGGAGCAGAGCAGGCAGAAGGACCGAAGTACACTGCTGAGGGGAGCAGCGGGCGGCAGGAGAGGTCTGCGCGCCATGCGGGACCCTCCTCCGGTGGCCGGGGAGCAGCCGGGGATCGAACTGGCGCCGCAGAGGCCGCGGGCAGCTTCGCAACCCAGCGCTCAACCGCTGCGCCACCGGGGAGGCCCTATTTTACAAGGTTTAATGGAAAGGGGGCGCTGCCAGCCGCCGCGGGCCGGGGCTCCCGGGGGCTGCTGGAAGGCGGGCGGGCCGGCGGCGGGGCCGCGGGCCCCTGGGGCGCCCCCACGCCCGGTGCGGCGCGCAGCTCGCCACCCGCCCCGCCTCGGCGCCGCGCTTCCAGGTACCGGCCGGCCCGGCGCCCGCAGGTCACCCCGCGCGCCTGCCCGCGTGCGCCGCGCCCCAGGGCCGCTGGCCCCGGGTGGAAGCAGCCGGGGCCCCTGGGCGCCTGGGGCAGGGACGGGAAAGCGCCCCGCAGAGCTGCTGCCCCAGCCGGCGGCGGTGGGCGGACGAGAAGGAAAGCAGGAGCTCAGGGCTGATAAGGGGGCGGGGGGCTTGCTCCCCGGGGATAAGGGGGCGGGGACGTTCGCATCCCGCGGGCTTGGAGTTGGCGGCGCAGGGGTGAAGATGGCAGTGAAGCTCCTGGGATCCGAACTGGAGCAGAGAATGGCTCCTGGAAGCTGCTCGGGAGTCGCGGGTTTGGGAGAGGCCGCAGGAGGTTCAAGGCAGGCGGGGAGGAGCCATAAAGAGGCAACTTCTCTCTCTGCCACGCCCTCACCCACCCCGCCGCCGCGCACCAGCCCTGACACCTGCCAGACCCCAGCTCCGGTGGCCTCAGCCCAGTGGGGTGTCCGCTGATACCTCTGCAAGTCTCTCTGCTTGGACAGTTCTTCCCATTGAGTTATTTAGGGGCTGCACAGCTGGGTCTTCCAGGTCCCCCATTCTTTCCTGGGCTAAACTTGGTCCCCACCTAGGCACTGCTGAGACCTCAAGGCAGATCCTTTCCAAGCTGCATAATGTGGTCTTCTGGGCTGGCACCCACTGTGCTTCTCAGCCTGCACTGCAGCAGCAGGGCCCAGGAAGTTTTGGTCCAGGGGCTTGCAGGTATCAGGAGGACTCAATGAGACCCAGACTGTCGCCTCTGTGTCCCCAACCCTGTGATGGTTCCCCAGTTCTGACACACCCCTGTCTGCCAGAAGGCACTTACCTGCCCCTCCCAGCCACAGCAGCAGCCCGTGGAAGCGCCTGGTGCTGTTAGGACTGCCCAGGCCAGGGCTGCTGGCTCAGGTCTCGCCACTTGGCCCAGACTGCCTCTTGCAGGAGAGTGCCGCAGCCGCCAGACACTGCGGGGTCCTAAAGGCAGCGCGCCACTCCCACCTCAGCCCTGGAGATGTGGAAGGAGGGAAGAGCAGGGTATGTGGGCATCCAGATCTCCACATTTTCCCAGAGAGGAACCTATTAGAGCCCCCACCTAAGGGGCCTCTGGCTGCCCCTACCCTTTCAAGGCAACAGGATGAGAAAGTGGTGTCACACCCCAGAATCCAGCTTGGGTTTCTAGGTTTGTCAGTCAGGAACAGTGGGGTGGGTTTCCTCAGCAGGGGTAGCTGTGATGTATATGTGGGTTTGGGTGGTGATAACATTTGGGAAGTTCTCCTAAATTACCCCAAGTGAGGCATAATCACTTGCCACTACTTGAGCCTTTCAATGCCTTTGTGACCGATTTCTTAGATTGTGACTTAGAAATATGGGTCTCCTCACACAGTGCCATTGCCTGTCCATGTTAACTGTACAGCTTCTTTCTCTTATGGCAGAACCTGGACCAGGGGGGCAGAAGACCCGAGTGTTGGCTCTAGCATCCCCGGTCAATGGCTGAGGGTACACAGGTCCCAACTTCTCTGAGTTTCCCCACCAGCATAGCACTGCATGCAGGGAAATTGGCACCATAACTGTGAGGGCCGCTCAGCTTCAGCTGGTTTGTGTCTTGGGTCCTCATTTTTTGCTCTAATCAATTATTTTGAAGACTGAGGCCTGTGTTTAATATAAAAACCGGGGTGGGGGGTAATACTACATGGTAAAGTGTCTGAGTGTACAGGGCTAGGTGTGGACACACAGCGATTTTGTAAAAACTGGTACCCATGCCCTATTTGACTCTGCAGATATCCCACTAGGAGGTCACAGAATTTATTTGCAAGACACTATGTAAGCCTGGTTCTCAAAGTGTGGTTAGTTCTTAACAGCAGCATAAGCCTGGGAACTTGCTAGAAATACAAATTCTTGGGTTTCACCCCAACCTACTGAATCGGAAACACTAGTGGTTTGGCCCCCCAATTTCCAGGTGATTTTTGTCACAAGATGTTTGAGAACTATTGTTGCTGACACAGTAGTTGCTTAAAAAAACCTAATGTGTAATTCTGTTTTCAGCAGCTCCATTTATGAGGAGTGGTTCTGTCTACCTATAAACAGGCACAACACACTCGCCTTGGTGACCTATAAACAGCTATGGTAAGTAATTTTTTTAAAGATTTGTTTTATTTATTTATGCATACAAGAACTGAGGTATAGGCCAGAGGTTCAGGGGTAGGGGTGAGAGGATTCACCACAGTGTGGGGAGCAGAACAGGCGTTGCTACTGAAATACACTGCTGAGGGGAACAGCGGGTGAGACAGGAAAGGTCTACTGTGCCATGAGGGCCACCTCCCTGGCTGGGGATTGAACTATGCTGCAGTGGCTGGCAATATAGCTTGATAGCGCTAAGACTTTAACCCATGAGGCACCAGGGAAGCCTTTCTGGTAAGTAATTCCATACAGCAAATGACACTGTACAAAAACTTAAATGTTAAAATTCGGACCAAACTTAGTACTTTTTTTTTTAATATTTATTTATACAAGAACTGGGGTATAGGCCAGATTGTGAGAGGGTGAGAGGATTCACCAGAGACAGAGCGGGGAACAGAACAGGCAGACTGACCGAAATACACTGCAGAGGGGAGCAGCAGGTGAGACAGGAGAGGTCTGCCGTGCTATGTGGGTATCTCCGCAATTGGCTGGGGATTGAACCGGCACTGCAGAGGCTGCGGAGAGCTTCACAGCGCTGTGCTCAACCGCCTGCACCACCAGGGAGGCCCGGACCAAACTTAGAAACTCCACCAAATGAGATGAACAGATGAACCAGGGTTTATGCTTTGACCCATTCCTTCATAGATCCCAGATTCACATTTTGCTGCCTCACCCGCAATGTGAGGGTATTTGGAGGTGGGACCTTGGAAGAGTGATTAGGGCATGAGGGCTCCACCTCCGGGGAACGGGATGAGTGCCCCATGAACAGAGGAGGTAGACAGCATCTTCGAACCGTCTGCCATGTGAGGCTGTCTATGAACCATGAAGCAGGCCCTCACTAGACACCAAATCTGCTTGCACCTTGATCTTGAAATTCTTGGGCTCCAGAACTGTGAGAAATAAATTTCTGCTGTTTGTCAGCCATCTAGTCTATGGCATTGTGTGACGGCAGCCCAAAGAAG